CGGCGGATTGGAGCCACCGCGCCATGACGGCATCCCCGGCGTCCCCACCGGCCGCCGCCGCCGCCGCGGTGGTGCCGGCGCCGCCCTGTTGCACCTGGCCACCCATGTGGCGCTGCGCCCTGCGTTGGGGCGCCAACTTTCCGCAGCCCTGGTGCCCGCCGACGCCGATCTACAAGATGCCAAGACCCGCCTCACCTCCAGATCGAGATCGGGAAGGGGGCTCACGGAAACATATATGCCGAGATCTACCGCAACTCCAGGGCGAGATCGGGAAGATCCGATCGCGACCGGCGGAGAAGCGAAAGGGATCGAGGAATCGGGTTCTCGATGGATGTAGCGGCCGATCCGGTTGGGATCTGGGGCAATGGGGCTGGGATCGAGTGGAGCCGGGAACCCTAATCTTAGTGCGGCAAGAGTCGATGGATGGGGGCGATCGATGGATCGATCGCCGATGGGATTGGAACGGGGAGATGCGAAGGTTTCTTGCTCCGAACGGGAGATGGGGAAAAGGAGAATGGGTGAGAGACGGAGAGAGAAGGGGGTCGGACGAGATAGAAAGAACGAGTGTCGTCGCCGAACCGAACCCAATGAATTTATTAGACTCATGTGCCATGTAACAGAGGCGGTCAGGAGACTAATAGAAGGCGATTTGTCTTCGACAGTGCCTGTGTGATTATTTTTATTTTCTTTCTTTTTTCCTTTCTTTTGGCAAAATTATATGTATATATATATAAATGATTCTTATATTTATCTTTTAAATGTAAATTTAAAATTTATATTTTTATAAACTAAAAAATATTATTATCTTTGAATTGATTATTTAATAATATGAAGAGATAGATGAATATAACATTGATAGAGTAAAAAAAATCAAATGGTCAAAATTAAGAGTTTGAAGTTTAGAAATGGGAGAAAAATAGTTTTATTTATAAATAATTAGGTATAGTTTCGATAAATATATAATGTGAAATACTTAAATATGTTGTTATAATATGTGAAATAATTAGTATTAATGTTGTAAAGAAAAACAAAAAAACACAAAGAAAGGATTTTACTATAAATTATAAGTACATATTCAATATATTCTTAATTTACCTGTAGATAAACAATATCTTGTAGATAGCATGTAAAGTATCATTCGAAACTCAATTGTAATTAAAGAATATTAAAAATGTTATGGATTGTTTCTTATTTTATGAAGGATTATAATGAGATCTAAAGGTATTTTAGGTACTGTTCATATATTTTTTATGAAGGATCTTATGAGGCTTAAATGCTTGAAAGATTCATTACAGGAACATTAAGAATATTATAAATATTTTATACTACATATTTCAATATTTGAAATAATAGATAAGCATAAATTATTTTTTTATTGGAAAAAAGAAAAAAGGTGTAGAAATTAAGAAGAGTAAATGTTTATTTTATTTAATTAGATCTAATTGCTGCCTATTGAAGCTTTATATTTTTTTTTCTTTGTGTCATGTAATCAAATAAGACGGCAATTAATCAATTATTATGGTTCATTTAACTTGTAATAATTATATAGCAATTGAGTCCAATGTTTGGATCAATATTTGAGCTATGAGATCTAACCTATAAATGGCCCTAATTCCTCATAATACAATATATTTTTTATATTTTTTTTCATTTTCATTATATTAATATATCATTAGTTTTATTTATAGCAAATAAAAATCATCCGGTGCAAATAACACCTGTTTTTGTGTGCAAATCAATATACACTTTGCCCACCTACTTCATCAATATCATGTCAATTTGCAGTACTGTCATGTGATGTTGTTTGAATAGAACAAGAAAAGGAAAAAAAAAAGAAGTGCTACAATTTTAATATACATGTATATTTTAAATAAACTATTTTAATATTTATCCTTCTAATATTAAATTTAATATATATATATATATAATTGTACTCCAATTAACTAATCATTATCTAACAAATAATTTAAACTCTAATTACCATCGATATAATTTTAATGTAAACAACAAAATAACTATAAAGACATTCACGATTATGGGATGATTATCATCCCCAATAGTTGGATTTATAGATCATTTGGAATATATTTGATTTCGAAAATATCATCTTCTCATAAAAATAATTGATTAATTTGGAACATCGAGTTAGTGATATGACATGATCTAAACATTAATTACTACAAGTAAATATTTTCCTACTCAATCGCATAATACGACTACATCAATAATTATCGAGGGATGCTTTAGATATTTAAAGATTTTTTGATATGTGTTTTCGAGACAAATATATATGCATAATATTATTATTTAGTGGGATATATATATATATATATATATATATATATATATATATATATATATATATATATATATATATAATGTTTGTAATGGCACATACATTATTTCCAATCTTTGAATTAATGTATTTGTAAAACCACCATCCTTTCTTTTAACACTAAATTTGTGACATATGAAGTCATGTGAAGACATTAAAAGAGGTAAAAGAACAATCACGGAACACAAATGAAAAAGTATTTGGGGTTGGTGAGAGGATTCCTACATCACCATGCAATCAAAGAGATGATTGGATTAATTATGACAGACATAATTACTATCAAAAAAATTTAAATATAATTATTCGTAACTAATTTAAGTCAAATATATAAATATTAAATACATACAATATCCTTAGTATTATATTTTTATAATAAATAAAAAATATTTATCTAAAGAAAACACTGATAGAGAGATTAGATGACGAATCTATATGGCTAGCATTTACAAAATGTAAAGAACACTTTGGTTCTTCTGATTCATTAGCAAAGACATCAGAATTTGGTGGGATACATAAATAACAAAAACCTTTGAAAATTAATTCACAATTATCATCGATAATAGCTCTTAGTTACCATGAAAACTCAATGGTAGCTATTTTAATTTGTTTTTAGGATGTATCTTTTTTTTTTTCTGGCAAAAAGAAAAAAGAATTTAGTAAGATTTAGTGGTCTATAGAAAAAGGATTTAAGGAAGAAACAAAGCTTTGTAATCATGTTTAGTTTGAAAAGGATGTCTTCAAAGGGAGTTCAAACCTAAGTGGACACCCAACAAACGCTTGGAATGAATGCAACACTTGGTGATGTAAAGCTTTCACTCCCAACACTTTTTCTTCGGTGGAAAGCTCCAAAGGTGTTGCCTGCCACATTAATAGATGTTGATTAGGTTACAAATCCCATCCATTAGCCATTGACATGATTGCAATGTTGAAGTCACATTGTAATTAATCCAAACCTATTTCAATTGTTTCTAGTAATCCTCGAATTAATTTTGAACATTGTAATAATAATCATGTTTTTTTCACATCAAATCAATGTGATCGATTTAGACGATGTTAGAATATCTATTAATAAGATAAAAGATGTATCGAATAAAAAAAAAAAAAAGTATCGGAGACATATTTGAATTCGAATAAAAATTATGTGCTTTTGACATCAAATTAATATGATCGATTTAGACAATGTTAAAGTATCCATTAATAAGATAAAAAATGGATCGAATAGAAAAATTAGTGTATGAAGTATGTTCGAATTCGAATAAAAAACAATAAAATCATTCTTTTAAGACTATGATAATTTAGGGTTTGTAGACACCTCTCCAACTACATAAATAATATTTTTCTAATTGATCTTTTTGAAATTATACATGAACTATACAAACATCGTATCATCATGTCATGATTTTTTTTTTTTTGTGTGAGTAAGATTATATGATAATTATTTCCAGATTATTGAGTTACCCTAAAAAAAAAAAAGTGACTACATTATTATTCTCTTTGGAATTACATGGAAGATTGAAATCAAATCATTTAGGGAACACATAAACAAACAAACACATCCCAAGGAGGAGATTGAGAGTATTACCAGCCGACATGATGGGCACTTTGCTCCAAAATCTGCACATCTCAAGCTCATCAGGAACAGTGATGGATGGAGCAAAAAACAGCAACTGTGATAGCAGATGTGTCCACATGCATCAGAAACAACATCCAGTAGAGATTCCTGCAACATGTCCACTATGATTGCAATATGAAGGTTTAAGTTACTTTTGTGATGAGTTATTGTTTACTTGGGAAGTATCTTAGCTTCTAAAAGGTTCAAACTACTTCATAGATTAGTACATCCATTATAAGTATGGATTCGCTTAAGAAAAAGTAGGAAGAGAAATCCTTGATGGATTAGAATTTGTTACTCTAAATATTTCATGTATTTTTAATTTTCGATGAAGAAGTAAGATACGAGGAAATACTTCCAATACTCTTTACATTTCTCTTTACTAGATTTAGAAATACTGAAAGAAAAGATATACGAGGAGATTTGTACTTGAGCTGAGATTGGTTCATATTATGAAAATTTTGATTTTTTTTCTATGGACATGACAAGCCACTTTAATAATCTTCTAATATGTTTCTTAATTAATTTTATGATTATTAATGAGGTGGCCAAAGGATATTGACAATAAAAAAATATTATATCATGACAATGATTACTTGCTAACGTAGAGAACCTTTCTTTGATCAGAGATGAATCGATGATGTAAGCCCAAGTTATGCTATACCTATTACGTTTTTCTTATAATAAAAAAAAGACGTTCATCGTCGTGAGATCTGTTCTTCACATCCGTACATCATTGGGCAAACTACTGTTATTTGTCTATCAAATCACATAACATAAAATATATATTATTATTGGGATGATAAGTATATATAATTTTGATATCTGTCCAACGAGAAATATATTATCGTTACAAAGGCATATTTCCATTTCGATTTGGTGATGAGATGACCGACGACTTCGTCGGGTCGAATGGAGTGAGCCGGAATCGAACCGTGTTGCTTTAAGATTGGTGCTGCTAAGCAGGCCTTCCGAGCCGTGTATGGTCCACGACAAAAGCCCAACAATCGAAAGCCCAGCTCACTCGTCGCTTTCCTCCCTCCCCTTCTGGCCCGTCAAAACCCTAGGTGTAGGATCGATCGGTTCGGTTCCGAGGTTCGCTCCTCCTCGATGCCGTCCTCGGATGACGAAGTCGATCGGATCCCTTTGAGTGCGCGGCCGGAGTGGTTGGACGTGAGGCCCGTCCCGCAGGACGATGGCCCCAACCCGGTCGCGCCCATCGCTTATCGCGATGACTTCCGGGAGACCATGGACTACTTCCGCGCCGTGTATCTCGCCGACGAACGGAGCCGCCGCGCCCTCGACCTCACCACCGAGGCCATCGGCATGAACCCTGGCAACTACACCGTGAGCTTTTTTTCTTTCCCCTCGTAATCTCAGTTGTCCTGAGATCGATAGATACTGGGGAAAAAGTCTTCCGAAAGATATATTTTTCTTGTTAAGAGGGAAAATCCAGAAGCTTTTGGTAGAAACCTTTATACAAGTTCATTTAGTTAAACAAAGGCCTTTCTTTTTTGGCAAGTAAGATGGTGGATGGATCTGCCGAACCGATCTTGAATCACATGCATCTCATTCTATTTAACGTTGATTTCTGAGAAAAGACTTACCATGTTATTTAGTGCCCTAGGTAGCTGCTTGAGCTGAAGTCGGAGTGATATTTCGTTTGCAGAGGCAGATTTAATGTGGTTCAGAGGCTCTAGTTGTGTGAAGAGATTTCCTCAAAAGTTCGTACATCAATTGTGGTGCAAAGATAGAAAAAGAAGCAACTGAACTTGTGTTCTTTTCTTTTGTGCAAGTAGGATCCGTTATAGCATCACCTTGGATAGCATACCTAAAATTGGATTTAGTGTGGACAATTATCTGTTGATATGCAACTTACGGATCATTTTTTGTTAAATTGAGAATTATTGGTATTATTGGCTTCTTTGGTAATTCTGATACTGCTGTTCATGCCATTAATTTGATTTTGCACCATGATCAAGGAAAATTGAGATCTAATTTCTTAATATGCTTATTCAGGCTTTAGTTATCTCCTATCTTCTTGTTTTTCTGGATTACGCATCATCTAGACTTTCTTTTCATGCTAGAGGGCATTACTCAAACTCATTATATTGCATTTCTACGGATACGAACATAAAGTGAGACCTTTCCTAATGATCTGTGCGCTATATTACGGTATTATCCACAGAAGTTTGTTTCTGTAGTGTTAGCTGTTTATGCTTTAGGTCATGCATCCACTAAATTATGCAGTTAAGTACTTAAGTTACTATTTGTCATGTTTGTACATTACAGTCTGGGGCATATCTCACTTTTTAACATGTTTTTAACATGTTTCTTGGATATTAAGAACTATTTATTTTGCTGCCTTTATTTTGGTTTCTCTCTTATTCTTCGCTGTTTATTCTGGATCTTCTTATTTGATATCAAATAAAACAATGCAAATAGGTCTGGCACTTCAGACGCGTTGTGCTCGAGTCATTAAATGCAGATTTACATGAGGAAAGGGATTTTCTAGACCGAATGACTATGCGCAATGCCAAAAATTACCAGATCTGGTGAGTGTTCACATCATAAGCCTATTATTCTGGTATCAAGAAAAACATTCATCCGTCTTGATAGATTTAGTTTTTGGCACATATTCTCTTAATGTCTCATAAGATTTCACTTGGCTATATATATATTTTTATTTTTTACACTGTTCTAAAAAGAAGTAATGGCAGTTCATCTGGGAGAATTTGCTTGCAACTTGTATGCTAATGATTATATATGTCATGTAGGCACCACAGGCGGTGGCTTGCTGAGAAATTGGGCCCGGAGGTTGCAAATAAGGAACTTGAATTTTCTAAACATATACTTGATCTAGATGCTAAAAATTATCATGCCTGGTCTCATAGGCAGGTAATTTAACTACTTTCTCTTCCCCTCTCTTTTTCTTGATGTACTTTTGAGTACTGGAATGTGTTGAATTTATACTATCTTAATTTACTCAACATCTAAATCAAAACCAAGTCGAAAGGCTGATCAAGGGGTCTCAAACCTAGAATATCCTGAATTGTGCTCACTGAGAATGTACTTTATTTTTGTACAAGCTAATTTGATCCTTCAAACGCAGGTGATGAAGGATGACCTCTGTCAATGTTTATCCAATACTAATGTTGGACCTTGTTATTCTCTTCCAATGCAGTGGGTGCTTCAGTCATTAGGTGGCTGGGAAAGCGAGCTTGACTACTGCTGCATGCTTCTTGAAGATGACATTTTCAACAATTCAGCATGGAATCAGGTTGACTGCTACAGGGTCTAGTTATTATACGTAGCTATTTTAGATCTGTTCAGCTATTGCTTTATGCCATACTTTTCTCTTGATCTTTATATTATTAATCTTGAGAATGGCTTAGTTGACATAACTATTTGCATTTCTTATAGAAATCATTAGATTTAAGCCAGTAAATTGAAATTTAGTGCCTTCTGTTTGTTAGAAAATTTCTTATCTGAAACATAGAATAGACTATTTGATAACATTATTTTGACATGCTTTAGTTTAGTGTTTGGGAGACATTCCTGTTACCTTATAAGTACCTAAGGTACTTATATTTTTCAATTCGTGCTGTATAAAACCTACTCCAAATAATGGGAGCTTGTCGATTGAGCTGGTGTCCCTTTAGTTTGACAAGTAGTCTTTCCTTTGTAAGTCTGATTGATGAAACCTGGTGATTTTGAAAGAGTAAAATGGAGATTCAAGCAGGAGATCACAACATTGAACTGTAAAATTTATGGACTACAACCACCATAAATCTCAAAATTTGTCAACTAATGAACTTGCATGACCATACTGCTAGCCTGAAATTTCTTTAGCTTGTAATTTGAGTTCTATGGTATGCACCATCTTCCTAAGATCATCACTTTATTATGGAACAGATTTGCAACTCAAAGAATCTAGTAAACCTAAAAACCAATTGGTATCGAGCCTTGGTCAGATAGGTAAAGCTTGGTTCTTACCCTTCTGATTAGTATTAAAACGTGGGACATGTGCATGTGAATCATGCTTGTTAGTTTGTGTGTGCTCTGGCACTGACCGACCTTTTTACCTTTTTTTTTGTGGTAGCAGTTTTTTTTCCATTGATGTTAGAATCATTAAACAGCTTTAGTCTTTAGAAGGTTGTTTGCCTTTTGCCATGTATCACATATCATAAGGCACAAATTCTCATTTAACTCATTCATTATCCAATTGTACATTCTGTTGGCAAGTATTTTCCTGAAAGTGCTAATGCCCAGCGTTTTGCTCTTCATAGACTATCATGTTTCAGTTAATTAAGGTCCAAAATGCATAGGTAATTTACATAATTAGGGACTAATATGATTGTTTCTTTACTCTACGATTGTTTCCTCGAGTACATATATCCATATCTTAGAATGTGACTTCCCTTGTCATTTATAGAACAAATCCATGTCCCCTATTAACTGTTGATCTGCAACAGCGGTACTTTGTCATCACAAGATCTCCGCTACTGGGAGGCCTACAGGCCATGAGAGATTCTGAAGTAGGCTACACAACAGAAGCCATCTTAGCTAACCCGCTAAACGAGAGCCCTTGGAGATACCTTCGAGGACTGTACAAGGGCGACACCAGCCAGCTAATAAGCGACAACCGAGTATCTGAATTGTGCCTGAAGGTCCTGAAGACAAGCAACAGCTGCCAATTTGCATTAAGCCTGCTCCTGGATCTTCTTTGTTATGGTTTCCAACCATCCGAAGAACTCGGGGCAGTAGTCGAGGCTTTGAGAAACTCTGAACAGGACACAGTAAGCAGTAAGTTAGCCACTACGGTGTGCCTCATCTTGGAGATCACGGATCCAATGCGATCGAACTACTGGGCGTGGCGAAGGAATAATCTTCCTAGTCAAGTTTGTTAAACTTTCCTAGGGTCCAGGCTAACTTTCCACTCCTGTTTCATCAATCTGTGTGGTCCGTAAAGTCCAGGTGATGGATCAGCTATGGAGTCACTGCTCTTTGGATTTCGCCTCTCATACAGAGAGCCCGTCAGAAACATATTACTCTGTCACGTGATTAGTTGTATCTTTGTTGATCTAACATGGTTTTGTGCTACTTGTTCAAGATGATGCAGGTCTATAGTCTGCTTGCCGTTAATACATTACCGCCTTAACTCAATCCTCCAAAAAGACCAGAGCAAAAGACAGCAGCACCTCTTCTCTCTGTGTCATCCTTCTTGTGTCACAGTATAAATGGATTGATCGAGCTCCAATCGATTGTATTCCAGAAAACCCGACCCGTTATCATTATTCTTTATCAGTAAAATGATGATGGATATGTTTACCGTGAATCTGAGTCCAAATCCCAACTCCAAACTCATGCTAAATCGAATCGAGATGTCCGATGCAGTTTAAACGGATCAGGTAGTTTGGGATCCGACCCGCTGTGGGATGCTTCCTTCACTATTACCCGGATCCAAATCCGATGGACCTTTAGATCCGATCTCGCAGTCCCCGAACGCGAACCCACCCTCCGATATGTACCCGCAAAGCCTTCCCATGGCCATCTAGACCAGCTGTCCCCTCCGCCAATGTTACGGCGGAGCTCTCCCCCTCGCCTTCTGCCTCGCGTTTCTATTCTTTTCTTCAGCTTCGGATCATTGACCATCGCATCTTTGTGGCAACCAGGGAGGGAGGAGGGAGCTTCGGATTATGATCCGACGTATGAATGTGTTGTGCGTGTGCGGGATGATCCTTGTTGCTCAGCATTAGCTTGGTCTTTGTTGGGATGAAGTGTTTTTTTTTTTTTGGATATGTATGCTTGCTTTGTTTAGATGGCCATTGAATTCAATGATTTACGCACTCATGGTTGCAGGAGGTTCAATCACTTTTTCCCAGTATTATATGTTTAATTTATGTGTATAGTGATGTTTAGACATTAAGGTTTCAGGTTCGGTGGCGATCAAGATGTAATTAGATGAATTATAAGAATGTTGGAAGCAATTATCTCTTATAGAAGTTAGCCTTGTAGTTTAGTTAATATATATCTCTTCAAATATGAAACTGTTTAAGTTTTAGTTGCGACATTTCTTCATAACCATGGATCCTAGAAAACATGACAATCTTGATTGACTTTGCTTCCTTTGTGAATGAATATATCTTATTATAGAAACGTAAAGTTAATCTTGTTTGGAGTATATGGATCAACATCACACACAATGATTTATGACAGAGAGCAAGTTAGTTATTCTTAGTCTCTTTGACCAAGAAACTGAATCATTATTCTTAATTTTGGAGAAATTGAGAGACAGAGGTAAAGAGTTAAAGCCTCAAGAGGCTAATCATCAACTACTATCACAAGGTGACACTAATACTCACGAAACAGCACAAGAAAGAAAAAGAAAGAAGACCCTGAGGACTGAAGAAGGTGAAATGATCCAAGCCCAATGACAGGGCGGCCTTTTTAGCTTTTGTCATCATTTATGTTTTTTTTTTAATACTCTTAAAGTACAAAATAGAAACAACATTTATGATTTGTTGTGTGTGTTTCTTGTCTATTTGTTCTTGAAAAGTTCATTTGACGATACGTCACCACCACCGATATCTGTTTTGTCCTTAGGATTATCAAGTTGATTTTTTACCTCTGTTCATCAAACTCTCTAATTCATTTGATCATACACATACTGAATCTTGTCCTTTCCTCAAGAGGAATGTTAGACACTGTGTGCTATCTGTTCATTAGAATTCCAGAAGCAGAAAGTATCTGGAACTGAAATTTTGGAACATTATGTAAGCAATTTGAAGAACCAACAACTTGATCATGTTTGTTTCAGTTATTTATAAGTTTTTAATTATATACGAAAAAATGCTAACGATAAAAAAAATCTAAATACAACCTTATCAAGGAGTAGCCAACTCTGAACTGATGTTACAGTTAATCATCTATATTTGGTGTTTCCTGTGCCAGATTCTTTTATACAATAGAAGCACCTAATCCTTATATCAACTTGGTGTTTCTGGGGCCAGTCACAATTTTGTGAATCAGTTCCATGAACTGAAGGTTTGTGTAATTACTTGTGACTCCATGCTTCAGAATATAGGGAAAGTTTCATGACCATAGGAATGATTCATGTACACCATTGATCAAATCCTAATCTTGATGGAAGATTAACCTTGTTGATGAAGCCTATAGTTTTAGAGAAACCTGGTCTGTGTAAGACTCAATCAACAAAAATGATTCCCTAGATTGAATCCAAGGCTTCGCCCAATCTCTGAAGATTTGGACGCATCCACAACAAGCCGTGATGTTCCAACTATTTGTGATTGGCTGTATGAATCTTCTCCTACCATTGAGCTCATGGTTACACCCTGTAATGTACTGAAATTATAATAACAAACAAAGTTCTATTAAATTGTCTTGCCTTACCCAATGTTGTTTCATTTGCTGACCAAATTCTGCTATTGTTTTCACTGATACATTTTCACCCTCATCCATTTTTCATTTTTAAACACCCTTGGAGTCTCTTCTTTAATCTCCTTTTTGCCATATGATGTACATGGTCAAGCTTGATATAGTTCTGCTTGCAACTAATTCCAAACTGATACAGGTTTTGTCCATTTTGCATTCTTGATATGCTGTTTAATAAATTTGTGGAGTGTTCAATTTTGTACATTTTTGTTCTACTTCATTGATAAATTAGTGTATCCTTTTTCCTATTGGTCTTCATGTCAGTCTTACAATTACCCTTAACTGCAATCTGTTGGACATTATCTAATCATAATATCTTTTTGAAGTTTAGTGCATTTCTTTGTAAGAGAAAAACCTTATATGCTTAGAATTATATAACCCTTTTATATTTTAAGGAGACATACATAGAATTTGCCAGTAACATTCACTTCCTCAAGAACCTGATGCAGTAGCCCTTTTCATACTGCACATGGTATAAGGTTTTTGTTTTTCCTGTATATTAGGGAAAGCTTACTTTTCTAGAGATGTCATGAACATGTTAGAAAATAGATCACTATTCAAGGACTATCAGCTTTTCCTAGAGTCATCAGAATTGAATTACTCATGATACTGATCTGGGCCCTCTTTACATGAGCAGCTACTATGGCTTTGTTGCTTTTTGTTGTTTTTATTTAAAATCTAATATCTAAATGTGATTTAAGTGTCTCACATGATTATGTAGTTGCTGAGTCAAACTTACCAATCTATAATTTCTTGGTTTATATCATTTTCAGCAAACAGCAGGAGCAGAGCTGAGTGGAGCACCCCCAAGATATTTCTGTATGCTCCTATTTTTACTTTAATTCATCGCCATCACCTTTTCCCTTCTCTTCTGGTGCACAAATTTGGATCCACTCCTGATATTTTGTAGATTTCCTATTTTTGACATGATCTGTCTGATTTCTGTACATTGGAATATAAATTTATCAACAACACTGGACATGTGGGAACCTAGACCTTTGAAGATATAGTTGTCTCTTGGAACACCAAAAACACATTATTGACTAAAGCTATTGTACTTGATTATCAGGAGCATTTGTTTATGATGAGATTCTCACCAGTACAAATTTACTATCTGAGGATTCTTTGGACTAATCTGGGGGCTATTCCAGCATCCAGGATAGACTTTAAAGCAAGGAGAAAAGAACACAATTGGTGTTGGAGATGTTGGAGTCGTTGGCTGATGTTTGGACACAATGGAAAAACTGAGGTTGTAATATTCTAGCCTATTTTCTCTTGTTTTGGTGGTACAGAATCCATAGCATTATCGCCAACTGGATCAGATGAAAATGGTGACATGATGATGATGGTGCAGTGGACATTCTTAAGCATATCCACCTCCTCACTTCTGTTCAAGGAACTGTCTACTTTATCAAACATAGACTTCATCTCATTGCTGAGTAGACTTTATGCAGTTGAATGCACAACGAGCACATTTTTTCAAAGAGAGAGAGAGAATCACATTCATGTACATCTCAGATTCCCTATTCAGCAGATTCAAGCTTTAATTGCTCATACCAGCCTGGTGGAAAGCTAGGGGAAGTGTAAGCTTTTACTTACTGATTCCTTTTTTATTCCTTTTATTCACCATTATAATGCCATTTATATTGATATTAGTAGTGGCAATTTTCCTTTTTAAAATCGAGCTGAAAAGTCATTCTCTTGATGATATTTGAGTGACAGCTTTGCCTTCCTGTCCTTTTATGAAATTTTAATGCAGAGGCCAGCTGGTAAGAATCTTCATGCAAAGTTGATGTCCATGTCCAAGCATCAAAATCATCGCTACAGAAGGTTAAGCTTCAGTCCATCTAATCTGTTAGTGAAGTCAGTGTTTCATGGTCTTTTCATATGACATTGTCATGATATTGAAAGTATTAGATTGGACTATTGCACTTTTTCTATTAAATTAATAAGTGACCATGACTCTTAAGGGTAAATCATCAAGGACAACTAAGTCTGGTGTGCTTCAACTTTAGATTTCTCTTTTGAGCAGGTTTTCATCAATAAAGTCCTTTTGTCATGCTTGCTAGTCTCTGCTAACCAGTCAAAATAACCATGTCATTCTGTAGTGTAAAGAAAGTACAGTGTGACCTTATTTTAAGGGAAAAAGAGACTTAGCTTGTGACTTCAATCTGCAGGTCAGATGATGGGTGAAGCATGGATAATGTTTTTTACACAAGTGCTGTCCGATGAGGAGGAATCTGCTCCATGGTCCATCTAAACCTATTAGGCATCCTTTATATATTATATTTCTGAGGGACCAATGACCATTCTTGGAACCTTATTCTGCAGGGTCAACATTAAGTTATCATCCAAGCACTGTTGGCAGATATTTAAAGTCCAGCCGACCAAATGTGGCTCACTTCATGGCACATGAATGCAAGATCAAGTCAATGAAGTTAAGCTTCTTCTACACTCTGGTAAGTTGGTTGTCTTTAAGAATCCACTCAGTCATCATAACTTGACCTTTTAATTCTTCTACATTTCTTGGGAAATTGTAGCTACTAGCTTGGTCATCATGGTGGTCAAAGTTAGTTCAAGATCAACTTTTTGACTTGATATGGGAAAGGCTCCCTTCCTACCATCTCAAATAGTAACAGAGCATATAAAATTCAAGTACAAGGAGCCACTTTGAAGTAAGTTTCTCTGATCCACATTCTCTTCAGGATTATGATAATATAATTCACTTAAGTCATTGGATGTGCAAACTCTTCAGAACTCATCTCTCAATCTTCTCCATGTCACCATTAGAACAAAACACATGACTCTTAGCATGTTCTTTTATCATCTTAAAATGAATTATTAAGAATATGTATCATGTCTCATCTAACGACTTAAACTTTTAGATGAAATTGACAATAACTTTTAGGATATATTCAGATCATTTTTAGGTTATATTAAAAAATAATTAATTCGAGTATGTGTCTTATATTGACTTAAACTTCTAGATGAAATGATAATGTTATTTTTTTTAAATAATTATATATATACTCTGTTATTTAAGTGAGTGACCACAAATTTTAATAGCTTGGGCTAGTATGTATTTTATCATCTCGTTGTTGGTTTAGATTTGATGTGTGAATGAAACTCAAATATATGGTATGGTGCAAGTCCAAGTGAAGAATGAATACTGTATGAATATTTTTAATTAATGATGAGAAAAGAAGGATAGATATATGATTCGAACTTATGGTACAATTTCAAGGATTTGATTGAGTTACTGCAAGTCCCAAAAGCTTAAGTTATCGGGAAAAGATTAATATAATGGATGAGAATTTGATTGCATCAAGTTGAGCTCTTGCAACACTGGATGAGTAACGTAGAAGCACAAGCAATACAAATGTAGAGACTGTAGGATGACCCTGACACATATGAGTTGCTGAAGCCCAAACATTCCACACGATCCAAGTCAATCCATGCGAAAGCTGCAAAAAGGCTTTTGCTTCTCCTTCAGCAACTTCAATCGCCTTCACCCCTTTTTCTGTATCATTTGCATGGAGAAGTCTCTCCTTCTTCCTTTCACCCTTCCCGGTCTCAACTACTAGCATTTTGGAATCACTCTACTTCCAACCTCCAGCAAACTGTCGTGCTACCATGGATGAACCCTAAATCCTTTATCACATGTCTGTATGGAGCTGGCTAAGTTGTTCATCTTTATCTATGAAGTCTTTTTGTCTAGTTATGTTTGTGCACCTAAGTTTACGCTTTTATAAAGTGAAGTTATAAGGAGATTGATCGTATTGCTAATGCAGAACCAGCTATGTCTGTGAACTGTGATTGATGATAATTAACACACATGGCAAATCAGGCAAAATGATGCATGTGTAGATTACATTTTGATTGATGACATTGAAGTATCCGCTTATGTCCCATTCAAAGAAAACTTTTTGGTTGATTGATTGACTGACCCATGGCATCTCAAAAGCACATGTACAGTATATTTGAATCAACAACTAACAACTAGTAAGCAAGGATTGTAAAAGAAAAAAAAGGGATTTGATTCTAGAAAGAAAACAATCCTTTTAAAATTTTATTCAATTTGTGGGATTTTGAGCAATTAGATCCAGTAACTTGATAAGTCTGACTTAAGCTAATAATATTAGCTTGCTTCGTGTACGCGTAAACCTTTCTTATGCCTAACCCAGATTTATTTGACATCCTCATCATGCTCAATACTTTGTTTATCCTGCTCTCATTTTCGACATTCGATTCAATAGGATAATTGATACATCATTGATAAAAAATATATAAATATGAGGTAATAATAATAGACTAATCTAACCCTGAGTACCTTCATAACTATCCTTTCATCAATACATATATATTTATATTTACAACAAATGAAGATAATTCCTTCTTGTATGAGCTGTTGCAATAATCATCTGTCTACGATACGATGTGTACAATCACTCTTGCTTATTATCTATCTCAAGCACATCTTCACATCCTCGTCTTCCTCATATACCATCATGTACAATCCAGGAATATCTAACTCTCTTCAATTCAATCAGTCCATGATCATCCCATGGAGTTTGTGATCATAATCATTGCCATTGCCAATGCCTGATCCATCCCAGGCTGCACCCTCAGAGTTAGAACATCCTTGTCAAGTAGCTTCTTTGCCATGGATCCATATTTCCTACTAACCTGTCAAAAGGAGACAAGGAAAGCTTAAGACTGTGATGGATCAAGATGTGGAGAGAACAGTTGGTACCTCGGCCACCAGTGTGTTTGCAGCAGACTGATAGATCTTGGAGCATTCCTTCTCGCGGGACCAGCTCATTCGATAACCTAATAATGGCTGGAATCCATCTTGGGTGAACATGGAGATGGTGCAGCTGTGGCTGCCCAAGTCCTTGGTTGCTTTGAACAGTGGGCTTTGCTCTCTCACCATGTCTTCAACATCTTTGTCACCCTTGTAAGCCTCCCAACTCTCCTTCAAGTTCAGAATCTGTCAAACCATGGATGATGATCAGCTGCTTAGGTACCGTTAGGGATGTAAGGTGGTTTTTGGATTGGACCAAATTATATGGATGACGAAGAAATCAAGTATTGAAAGATTCTTCTATAAATGTCTTATGTAAACCAAGGCTTTGGTAAGGATGTATACTAGAAAAAGACTTTTAGTGCCACTAGGATTTTCTTGTATGAGATTTATACCAAAGATTGTACAAGGAGATTTTTGTTTAGATTTAGGTTAATAAACAAAAAAATTGATTCTTCTATGAATATCTTATGTATATTAAGACTCGGTAAGGACAACACACACGTATAAGAAAAAGACTTGTAGTGCTATTAGGATTTTCTCTAGAGTATATGTTGAGAAAAAAATTCTTTACAATTTATACAAGAAAGTGTACAAGGATATTTTAGTTTAGATTCTTCTTGTATAACAAAATAATAATAATTTTTCTTTGTAGAGGTAGACATCTCATGTGTTTGCTATTTAAGGTTTGTGTTCCATTGTTGGTTCTATGGTTTAATATTGTTGTTTCGAGTGTTGAATGCGGAAACTGAACGAGGAGGTGTTGGTTTGAATCAGATACCAATGACTGCAGGAAGAAGAAGAAGAAGAAATGTTGATGTCTTGAAGAACAAACACGCATGCATGTTTGATCTTTCTTTTTATGGTTTTTAAGGCTGTATATATTCTGAGTAAGATGGATATGCTTATCTTTCTACTGTATGAATTGATCTTTCTACTGTATGATTTGATGTGGGCATGAGGAGGTGGCATCAATAGAAGGGTAGATCAATGGGTTTGTCACTGTAAGATTGCTACTTCTCAGCTTGTCCATGTTTATGATGCTTGTCTTCATCATATGGACAGTGTAATCTTTCATTCTATACATGAGAGAGAGAGAGAGAGAGAGATTCTTGGATATGTCAACATTAAGGAAACAGTGGTCGTGTTCATGATGTGGGATAAAACATAAGTTTTCTAAAGTCCATGGAACCATCAGGTGAAAAATGGTGCACTCTAAAGGAGAAGACCGCTGTGTTTGTGAAAGCATTGATTGATGTCGCTGATGTTATGGATATCAAAAATTGGGAGTATGCATAAATCCTTTTTGTGCTTCGCTCATTTTGCGAGTTTGGTCTTATTTCTCTATTTAATAGGTCCACACAAGTTATGAGTGTGTTGTTGGTGTTCCTACACATTATTGAAGTATGCATCATAATTTTGATCATCAAAATGATTTGGTTTTTAGGAAGAAGAAGAAGAAGAAGAAGAAGAAGAAGAAGATAAATTTTGCCATGTATATTATATAT